AAATAGCTAAAATCTATATAACACCAGAATACTGCGAGGCATACATGAGACAGTTGGTTGAAAATTTGCATTGTTTATTGAGAATCACGCTAAAAATGCTGCACTCTATAACATATAATAGTATAGCTAAATCGTTCAGTATATCCCTTTGAAATAAATGAAGGCCTTATTTTATGGCACAGTGATTGAGTCATAATATGCTTGTTTTTTGCATCTTGTCCACATACAATTTGAAAAGCGTCAGTAAATTATCGTTTTTATAACCTATATAAAGCTTTCACTGATCACCGGAATAAAATTCTAACGCTACGATTAATTTTTAAACTCGTCTACACACAAAAAAAAAAAAAAAAAATAGGTAACGAATTGAAAAATAACATATTTTGTGTCTTTATTCATCATGTCAAACCCCAACTTCACAAATTGAGTGCAATACCACCGTTTCAAAATCGACTTGCCCTATTGTGCTATTGTCACCTCGCAAGACGACAGCTGTCGCATGAAATTCGAGTTCAGAAAATCTAGTTTTGATACTCAGTAAAATGAAGTACAGGGTGATTGAAAATGAACTCCCTATTTTATGCATGAGAGACTCTCCGGTCTAAATGTAAGTTTTATAAGACGGAAGAGTCCATCATACATAAAATAGGGACTTGCTTTTCAATCACTCTGTATTAACTGATCTACGTAGGTATACTTTAGACTATTTATACATTTAGGTATGAATAAGGCAAGATCCAGACATGCGCCGGGAAGGTTATGTTGGATTAGGCCAGTGGTTCCGACCTTTTGGGGCCATGTTCCACTGAAGTATTTCTAAAATTCTGATGACCCACGCCCTCGTGACATAATTCTTATTACTCCAAAAGTGACCTCCTATTCCCTTGGAGGAAGCCTAAAAGACTATCAACTTAACTTTCCTTAAGAACTTGAAACTGCATATATGCAATAGTATTATCATTTAATTTTAGAATTTGAACATTATATATATATATATATATATATATATATATATATATATATATATATATATATATATAAATGAGAGAACAAATGGATTAAAAAATCCAGTTTTTTAGCATTTACTTTTTAAAAAAGTGTTCAATAAAAAGTAGAGCAAAATATTATTATTATATTAAAACGTTTTAAATCGCTCGTTTTTATTATAACCTCTTATAATATATATATATATATATATATATATATATATATATATATATATATATATATACGTGGCCTGACGATTGCATATAGCATGAAACAGACTGTCGCCTCTAAGTGTTGACTTCTATGTTCACTTTTATATTTACACACGCTCTATCTCTGATATTGAGCACTTTATCCCGTAAATATAGCACACCTTAAGACTATATTTCTTCATATATATATATATATATATATATATATATATATATATATATATATATATATATATATATATATTGACGACACCACAAACTCGCTTTCACGACGCTTGACTCTACATTTGAATGAAACTGTAACATTTTTTAAGCATTTAAAACAACATGCTTGGCCGTATACACAATTCCGGAAAATACTCGTTGAAAACACAACTATACTTAAACATGAAAAAGAATAAACAAAAACTAAAAATTCTTGAAGCTGTATACATTAAACAGTTGAAACCTAAGCTGAACAAAATAAATTATTAAATATCCACAAATATTCTTAAATGCTTATAACTGATAACAGAAGCCATTGGTTTATATCAACGGCTTACCATACTTAATAATTCTCGTTTTCACTCTCGCGTGGTCATGTGTGATGTCTTGAGCTGCGAAGCGATTTTCACTTCCAGCGTCTCGTATGCACGAGTTTGTCGTTGCTTGGAAATCTTTCCTGAAAACAAAAACAGACTCTCATTATTGTTTTGTCCGTGTATTGTTTAATATGTTGTAATGTAATTGTCATCTTTGATAATGAAAGCTTAGATAGGATTAAAAAATATGTATCAATATTGTGAGTTTCTTTCTTCGTTTAATGATAATGCTATTAAGCTTATCAGACCTTATTACCCATGTACATACATACACACAGGTATTTTTATATATGCATACCGCATATGAACCATATGTATTAACTCCACACACACACACACACACACACACACACACACACACACACACACACGCACGCATAATCCCACAGACTGAGTAAAAAATTTAAGGTTAATTACTCATTCTCAAATTGATCCTCTTAAAAAGCAAATGAGCCTGCTGTGAGGTTTGCGCCCTACATTGAGAACCGCGGAATTAGGCTAAACTGTACCTGAATTTATTCTAGGTGGAATTTAATTGGTGATGATTAATTTTCTTTGTGGGTTTAAAAATCCACTGAGGTAAAGATTTTTAGCGCCTATCTGTGCGAATGTGTATCGATGACAAGTTAATTTTTCATTATGTATAAGCATTGGATGTCTTCAACAGCCAATATCAGATTTTAAATTGCAACACAAACCCGATAACTTTACTGTAGGCAAGTGCGTAACATGTACGTGTGTAATGCCATGGAGGCCTGATTAGCTTCAGCGTCTGCCTGTAGAGGAGTGGATTGTTGGAAGCGTAATCTAAAGAGGCTTCAATAGCGACAAGGAAGCGAACAGACACAGCACAATCAAAGTAAAATGGCGTCGATAAACGAGTATGACAGGAGGCGGGAAAATGAAAGGTTGGAAATGAAGGTGAACATGCGTTGTCGTGATGGAGAATTAAAAAAAATGTTAAGTACCTAAGGAAGATTGAAGATGTCAGAGAATCGGTGAGAATGAGGATTAACATTGAAGAGATTTTTAAATGATAGGAACAAGTAAGAATGAAAACGAAAATGGAGAGGAATGAAGGAATAAATGAATGAAAAAAATGGTTGAAATAAGAACGAATTAAAAATGTATTACGAAAAAGAATTTGCAAGTGGAGAAGTCAATCAAGGAAGAAAAAATGGAGGAAGAACGAGAAAAATTAGGTTCGAAAATAAGGGGAGAGAAGCTAAGCACGGATGAATTAAGGAAACGTGTGTGTGGGGATACGAATAAACGATGGGTAAATCGAAGACGGAAGAAAGAAAGAACGAATAAAGGAATGAATGTAGAAATTTAAAAAAAAATGGAATCGAAGAGAGAAAGAATGGATGAGAAAGAATTTAATGAAAATAGGAGAAAATAAAATAGTGAAAAAGGAAGGAAATAATCTAAATAACAAGAAAAGAAAAAAAAGAATGAAAATAGGAAGAAAAAGAGGAAAAGAAGAACGAAAGGAAGAAAAAGAATATAAATAAAGAAGAAAAAGAAATAAAGAAAAAAGAAAAGAAAAGAGAACGGAATAAGGAAGAAAAAGAGGAAAAGATGTAAGAAAGAACGGAACAAAAATTATAAATAAAGAAGAAAAAGAAATAAAGAAGAAAGAAAAAGAATTAAGGAAGAAAAGAAGTAAAGAAGAAAATATAAATAAAGAAGAAAGAAAAAGAATTAAAGAAAGAAAGAAAAGGAGAATGAAATAAGGACGATAAAGAGGAAAAGAAGAAAGAAACAAACAAAGAAAGAAGAAAAATATAAAGGAGAAAACGAAATGAAGAAAAAAAAGAAAGAAAATGAAATAAGGAAGAAAAAGAGAAAAAGTAAGAAAGAAATAATTTAAATAAAGAAGAAGAAAAAGAAAGAAAGAAAGAAGAAAGAAAAAATAATTTACATGATACATAGAAGAAGTTTTTGGTATCTTTCTTTTGATGATCGATTGTCATCAATTCTATTCAGTTCTTTAACATTCATGTCGTTTCGCTTTCTTCGACGTCGGCCTGATTTTTCACACCAGCAACATGTGATGTGTTTTAATGGCCATAACCCAACCAAATATTTATTGAATACCCCAGAAATCTCCCCAGTAATTTTTTGTTTCATTTTGCTTGAATTTCTGGGATGATGCGTTATTATTATTTACTTTATTTCCATTCTGATTATTATCCTCATCTTTGTTGTGATTAGCACAATTTTTCGGCCGTTGGGTTCTCCGACCTTCATCAGGTATTTGTCGATCCAGTGGACTACGGAACAGAAACTGGGTGGATTAAATTGAATTTCTGGGATGAGGATTTATTATTATTTACTTTATTTACATTCCGATTATTGTCCTTTGTTGTTATTAGGTAAACTTTTCGGCCGTTGTACCCCCCGACCTTCATCAGGTGTTTGTCGATTCGGAGGATCGCAGAACAGAAGCCGAGTGGATTAAATTGAATTTCTGGAATGAATAATTATTATTCACTTTCTTTACATTCCGATTATTATCCTCATCTTTGTTGGGATTAGCTAAACTATTCGGTCGTTGTACTCTCAGACCTTCATCAGGTATTTGTCGATTCGGCGGAACACGCGACAGAAGCTGAGTGGATGAAATTGAATTCCTGGGATGAGGAGTTAATATTATTTTCCGATTATTGTTCCCATCTTTGTTGTGATTAGTTAAACTTTTCGGCCGTTGGGCTCTCCGACCTTCGTCTGGTATTTGGCGGAACACGGAACAGAAGCAGAGTGGATTAAATTGAATTTTTCGGATGATAAGTTTTATTATTTACTTTATTTACATAAGGATTATTGTCCTCATCTTTGTTGATATTAGCTAAACTTTTCAGCCGTTGTGCTCTCCGACCTTCATCAGGTACTTCTCGATCCTAGGGACCACGGAATAGGAGCTTAGTAAATATAATTAGATTTCTGGGATAAGGAGTTATTATTTTTTACTATTGTCCTCATCTTTGTTGTTATTATCACAACCCATCAGTGGCTGTGGCTTCCGGTGCCGAACTAAAACCTTTCTTTAATCGATGGGAGAGGTTGTCCATTTACCGGTTTCATTGTCTCGGGATATCTCGTGTCGTTTTTTAGTTTTTTGGTATTGCTCGCCCGGTTTTCATTGGTAAGTCTGCGCTACCCGACCCAGTGACTGAACTCACAATTCTTGCCATGTCCCTTCAGGACATAGGTGATCATGGCTCACCACAACTTCCTGACGCTTTCGAGCCCTTCTTCCTCAATTTCTTTCTTTCTTTCTTTCTTTCTTTCTTGTTCTTGTTTTTTTTTCCTTCTTTCATTTACATGTCTATACTTCCTTCTATATAATACATTTCTTCGTTCATTTCTTTCTTTCTTTCTTTTTGCCTCGTTCATTCCTTGTTGTTCTTTTTTACTTCTTCTTTGGAATCTTTGTCGTCGTTCATCATTTTCCTTCGTTTGTTCATTTTCATTCATTCTTTTCTCAGTTACTTTTTCCTTCGCTGTAATCCTTTTCTTCGTTCTTTCTTTCTTTCTTTCTTTCTTTCTTTCGCCAACTTTTCTTTCTTCACTGTCATACTTTTCTTTCTGTCTTTCTTTCTTTACCTTTTATTTCTTCTCTGTCATACATTTTCTTTCTTTCTTTCTTTCTTTCTTTCTTTCTTTCCCTTTACCTTTCTCTCTGTTATACTTTTCCTTGTTTTCTTTCTTTCTTTCTTTCTTTCTTTCGCCAACTTTTCTTTCTTCGCTCTCATACTTTTCTTTCTGTCTCCCTTTCTTTACCTTTTATTTCTTCTCTGTCATACTTTCTTTCTTTCTTTCTTTCTTTCTTTCTTTCTTTCTTTCTTTCCCTTTACCTTTCTCTCTGTTATACTTTTCCTTGTTTTTTTTTTCTTTCTTTCTTTCTTTCTTTCGCCATCTTTTCTTTCTTCGCTGTCATACTTTTCTTTCTGTCTTTCTTTCTTTCTCTCTTTCCCTTTACCTTTCTCTCTGTTATATTTTTCCTTATTCTTTTTCTTTCTTTCTTTCTTTCTTTCTTTCTTTCTTTCTTTCTTTCTTTCTTTCGTCAACTTTTCTTTCTTCGCTGTCATACTTTTCTTTCTGTCTTTCTTAACTTTTTATTTCTTTTCTGTCATACTTTCTTTCTTTCTTCCTTTTGCACTGTGTCCACTTCCTTTTCTTCTACCACTTACTTTTTTCTATAGTTTTTCTTTTTTTTATCTACTTCGTTTTGTCCGTATTTCATATAACATTTACCCAAATTATCTGACAAAGAAAAAAGTGACAATGAAAAAAAATCAAAGAGCAAACCTATTAAGACTTCTAACAATAGCCTTACTGACGTCACAACGAGACAAAATTATTGACCAATCAGAAACGTACTGAATTATATTCATGAATAAGTATTGATAATTATATTATCCCCGCCCCCATCTCATTGTCTGCATATATCTTGTTCATTTTTTTTCACTACTGTGAATAACGTAACATCAATGAATTCTTACCAAGAGCCATCAAAGCGTAATAGCTTTCAACTTACTTCCGTTACTTTCACTTTCACTTTCACTTTTAATCTTTCTTGTGCTAAATAATTTGCTAATCCCTGTGTTATTGATTTCGAAAACAAACTGAGGACATCGATTGTAGGCCAAAGGAGATCTTATGTACCTAATCAGGAATCAAGATGGAGACCATGTTTACAGTTACTAGCCTAAGAGCCTGTTTTTCCAATCAGGAACAGTTCCAGAAAATATTGTTTAAACTTAAAATTTTTTTTTTCCAAGTTAAACATTGGTTGCTTCAATACGACGTATGTTCAGAATGTATTCAGTGCTAAGAAACATGTTGAGAAACAGTTGTTAGGCTTTGATCCAGTTAGACAACCAATCAGAGAGAACATTACCCTACAAGGGTGAATAGAAAATCTTCCATTTGGGTTACCCAGTCAGCAGTAAGTTATTTACGTTTACTGAGCGACTACCGCGCATTCACAATAATAAAACTAGTAAATTTTCCGGTATTGTTCAAGGGTTTTTCAAAAATAGCTTCTTTTTTAAAAGCATTTTACTCCTAGCAAAGCGGGAAGCCACTAGCACGCAATGGCTTACAGAGGATTTGGAGCGAGAGCAGGTAGGAATGAGAGAGGAAAGATGGGGAGAGGGTAGTGGATAGATCCAGGCAACGGGAGATGTCGATTGACATTACATTTGAAAAGTTGGAGATTATAGCTCTCATGGAAGCAGGAAAATGGAAAGGAGTTCCACAGGCAAGAGAGAAGCTATTGAAGTAGAAGAGGTGGCTACATTTAACAGTTTCAACAGTGAAAGGGTGAGGCGGGATGCCAGCCTCGTAAGACGCTTGAATTCGCGAAGTCTGTGAACCAGCGAAAGCAGCTCATCGGAGCAATTACCATGAAAGTATTTATAAAAAAAGACAGAGGTCCTCTGGGATGTTGTCTTTACGCTCCCCGTTCAAGAATGTGCTTCTGAGGTCTCCTCCTGGGTTAAAGCTGGAATCGACGCTTTCATCCCCTCAAGGAAATTTAAGGTCAAATCGCGGTCCTCCCCCTGGTTTTCTGCTGCTAGCTCATTGCTCATAGTAACCACTTCTGCCCCCTCTATCGTAGCGTTATGTCCGACTGCAATAGACGTCTCTGCCTCTGCCCGTAACGAGTGTAAGCGTGTCCTCAACGAAGCTAAGTCACTATTTCCTGCTCAAATGAAGGAACGTATCGCTTCTCGCAAATTCGTCTCCAAGGATAATTGGCGTCTCTGAAAGAGCGTACTAAACAGTAGGAAAACCCTCTATACCTCCTACCGCATAAATCTATCGAATACGTTTTTCTCTTGTATCACATCTATCACCCACGATTTTAAAATGCCACGCCCCTTTAGGACATAAAATATAATATCTCACCACAGCTACTTTTGTTTATTATCTAACAATTAGGAAAGATAATGGCGTGGTTTCCTGTTGTATAAAAAGTTTTTGAACCACTGTCCTACACTGACTGCCACACAAGTTCAGTATAAAAAAGTTTGGGGACAACTGTTCTACACTAACGGCCAGACAAGACCAGTATATCCATAGGTGGTGCGAAGAAACGTCTGTGCTGGAATAAGTGTGTGGGATCTTAAGGAGAATATGTGCTTTGGACTAGGCTGATATTGCCCTAGGCAGGATTTTCATTTATATTAAATGGATGGATACTTTCCGTACGCACCTTGTAATTATGTATGTATGTATAAACGAAATCAATAACATTTGGATATTATCATTTGTGTAACACACACACACACACACACAATCTCTCTCTCTCTCTCTTTCTATATATATATATATATAAATATATATATATATATATATATAGAGAGAGAGAGAGAGAGAGAGGGAGATTTTTTGTTTGGAAGTAAAGTCTGATGATCCGCAGTCCTTTAAAAGGGCTGTGGTGAAATAATTTATTACATGGAACCTTAAAGTGGTCTGTTTTTATTTAAATTATATCTATCTATCTATCTATCTATCTATCTATCTATATATATATATATATATATATATATATATAGTATGATACAGTTGGCATTGGAGTTCTACGTTCCGCAGAGACTCAGGGATCGTCTGGCTATGTACTTCAATCAGTTCATACTGCGTTTTTCGACGACGAAGTACACTACAAGGTATGTTGAGCTTCATAGGGGAATTGTGATGGGATGTGTCATGTCTCCAGTACTGGTTGTGATGGAGGTGATCTTGAGATGTCTGACGCCAGAGTACCGCTTCCTGCAGAATGAGGTCAAAATCCGAGCATTTATGGATGATTTGACGAGAAAATATCACAGTTGGTTCTGGATAGACTTGCAGAGTTGGTAGAATGGAGTCAGATGGCCTTCAAACCAAAGAAAAGCAGGTCACTGTCTATGAAGGGAGGTTCTGACACACATAAAGTGCTTTCCATCGCAGGTGAAAAGATATCAACAGTGCGGGAGCAAGGTGTGAAGAGACTTGGGAGGTGGTATAACTTCCCTATGATAGATGGTCACCGTGTGATTGAAATCCAGCAACAAGCGGAGGTGGGCCTGTGAAGAATAGACCAATGTGGGCTTCCCGGAAAATTTAAGATGTGGCGTATGCATTTTGGATTGATGCCTAGATTAATGTGGCCGTTGACTATATATGAGGTATCACTGTCTAGAGTGGAGATTATTCAAAGGTAATTAGAAATGCATACGGAAGTGGCTTGGTGTTGCAAGGATTCTGTTGCCGGTCGCTTTTTATGGCATCACGGGGAGGGGGGCGCTTCAGTTACCTATTACTTCTTTGGTGGAGGAGTACAAGGTGGGAAAGGTGAGATTGCAGTCCATGCTGCGTGAGTCTCGGGATGCTGTAATCTGGAAAAATGTGCCAGAGGTGAAGACAGGAAGAAAGTGGAAAGTGGCAGACGTGATGTCAGCAGTGGAAGTGATGTTAAAGCAGGTAGAAGTTCAAGGTGTTACAAAGAATCGACGTGCTGGACTTGATCTAGTTGAGAGGGAGAGATTCTGGTCAGAGGCCAGTAGACAGGAGCAACGCAAGTTACAGGAACAGGGGGTTCGAAAGCTCGAAGAGAGGGACGTTTAGTGCGGACTGTCCAGCAGGCTCAGCAGGGTCGATAGCTTAACTGGGAGGGTATTGACAGTGTTCAAATCAGTTGATCTGATTGGTGGCGTCTAGGCGCAGGACATTTGAGGTTCCTCATACAGGCAGCATATGATCTGGCAGCAAATTTGAAGAGTTGGAGAGTGCAGGATTCACCCTCCTGCCAGTTGTGTGGTGCTTATAGAAACCTGCGCCACATACTGTCAACCTGCTCGAAGGTGCTACAGAATGGCTGGTACACCTTCAGACATAATTTGGTTCTGGAGGCCGTGGAAGCAGCTGCAAGAAATGCTAGCATATCCTCGTTGGACCTGCGAAGGGTTGCCTTCCTGAAGCGAGGTGCGACTGACACAAGGCAGAAGACCAGTCGGAAATCTCAAGGAAGGGGAGAGTGTTGGTCGATGCTACACTGCCAGTGGAGGTCATTGTGTCTGGTCTGAGACCAGATCTGGTCTTGATTGATATCGAGAAGCAACATCTGTTGCTTGGCAAACTGACAGTAGCATGGGAAGAAGGGATTGAAGAGGCTCATGATATTGAACACTGTTATGGTCCAGGTTAGGACCAAGGAAGAACAACACAAACACAAGAGTAGAAATGACTAAGGTATATTACACGAAATAATAATACAAGATGTGGAAGGTGTTAGTATGACTGTCAGTCTGGTTTGGAGTGAACTACTATCGGCTCGACTCGATTCGGTATCTAGCCACCATCCCACGAGGGTTGCATGTGGCACAAGGCCGAGTTTATCGTGGGTTTCCGAGACCGTAGGCTCGGCCAAAAATGCCCGTATAACCTGTATAAACGAGATCGGGTTGGTCATTTCTCCCGAACGAGATTCTGCCCTTCGGCGGAACCTCGTCCGGGTTCCTTTCTGCTCAAAAGCAGAGAGTTCGACCGTCAAGTCGAGAAGCCTCGGCTTGATTCAGTATCTAGCCACCCCCACGAGGGTTGCATGCGACACAAGGTCATTTTTATCGTGGGTTTCCTGAGCCCGTAGGCTCAGCCAAAAATATGCCCGTATAACTCGTAAAAACGAGATCGGGTAGGTCATTCACCCCGAACGAGATTCTGCCCTTCGGCGGAACCTCGTCCGGGTTCCTTTCTGCTCAAAAGCAGAGTTTCGACCGTCAAGTCGAGAAGCTCAGCTTGATTCGGTATCTAGCTACCCCCACGAGGGTTGCATGCGACACAAAGTCATTTTTATCGTGGGTTTCCCTGAGCCCGTAGGCTCAGCCAAAAATATGCCCGTATGACTCGTAAAAACGAGATCAGGGTAGGTCATTCACCCCGAACGAGATTCTGCCCTTCGGCGGAACCTCGTCCGGGTTCCTTTCTGCTCAAAAGCAGAGAGTTCGACCGTCAAGTCGAGAAGCTCGGCTTGATTCGGTATCTAGCCACCCCCCACGAGGGTTGCATGTGGCACAAGGCCGAGTTTATCGTGGGTTTCCCGAGCCCGTAGGCTCGGCCAAAAAA